ATCTATCTATCTATCTATCTATCTATCTATCTATCTATCTATCTATTTATCCTTCTATCTATCTACCTTCTATCTATCTATCTATCTATCTATCCATCTATCTACCTTCTATCTATCTATCTATCTATCTATCTATCTATCTATCTATCTATCTATCTATCTATCTATCTATTTATCTATCCTCTCTCTCTACCTACCTACATACTTCTACTTATCTTTCTCTTTTCTCTCTCTCTTTCTCTCTATTTGTCTGTCTGTCTGTCTCTATCTATCTATCTATTATCTCCTTCCTTCCTTCCTTCCTTCCTTCCTTCCTTCCTTCCTTCCTTCCTTCCTTCCTTCCTTCCTTCCTCTTTCAATTATGATTGTGAGTCCAAGACTACCTGTAATGGATGCCTAGTCTAGTGAAAAGGACTATGGGGGACAGGATAGCAGTCTGCCAGTATTTGAGGGTCTGCCCCACAGAAGAGGAAGGGGCCAACTTATTCTCCAGACCTCCTGAAGGCAGGAAAAGAAACAATGGATGGAAACTAATCAAGGAGAGAAGCAACATGGAATTAAGGAGAAACTTCCTAACAGTGAGAATAATTAAACGGTGGAACCGCTTGCAACCAGAAGCTGTGGGTGCTTCATCCCTGGTGGTCTTCAAGGAAAGACTCGATAGCTCTTTGTCTGGAATGATATCGCTCAAGCAAGGGTTGGATTGGAAGACCTCCAAGGTCCCTTCCAGCCCTAGGATTCTATGTCCTAAAAATCAGACAGCCCTTCATCCGGGATTGCATAGGGCAAGGGTCTCCAAACTTGGTGACTTTAAGGCTTGTGGACTTCAACTCCCAGAATTCCACAGTCAGCATGGCTGCCTGAGGAATTCAGGGAGTTGAAGCTCACAAGTTTTAAACTGGCCAAGGTTGAGGGTCCCAGGTATAGAGCCTCCTGCTGGAGCAGTGGATTGAAGACCCCCAAGGTGGCCTCCAAACCCAAACCCCACGGTTCCTTGTTCTACAAACTTCAGACAGGTGGAGAATTTGGGAGAGGTGTTCAGTCCAAAAACTCCACTGGGCGAAATAGCCCATTTTAAGAGGCAGAGGTGGGCAGAGCAGCAGACGAAAGCATAGGACGGATGCCATCGCCGGAACCACCCTGGTTGTCCCTTGTCGTGTAGGGTGCCAAAAAAGGAAGATCCCATGCCAGGTTGTTTAACGGGGATGAAAGGTCTCCTACTCTGAGGTTACGCCTTGGCAATGATCCCCAGCCTTTGTGAATGGGGGAAACGGCGGTTGATTGTAACCTACACCAACCTCTTTCCATGGGTCTGCCAGGTGCAGAGCCCGTTTCCTTCTCCTCCGGTTTCCCACCTGAACAAAACGGTTCCTGATTGGTCCTCCTTTGTCTCGGCCCCCTTCCCAAGAAGAAGGAGCGTCCCTTCTGCAGGAAGGACCTCGGAGAATTCAATGGGGGGAAAACCCCTGGCCGTCCGCCAGCGGCTGGACAATCTGTGTAGCAGGACATAAAAGGAGGCCTCCTGGTCCTCAGGACCCCATCAGCCGTGGACCTCCATAGCAGAAGAACCAAGGATGGAAGGGTTCTTGTGGAAGGCCCTGCTGCTGGTTGGGGTTCTGTCAGTCTCTGGGCGCCCCCACCTACCCCACAATCCGTTGACTTATGACGAGGCCCTACGTCTCGGAGTGGAGATCTACAATAAGAAAGCCAGGGAAGACTCCCTCTACCGTCTCCTGGAGGACGTTCCTCAGCCTGAATGGGTATGGAGTCCTGGCAGTGGGTGGGGTGGCCTGAGATGGGGATGATGAAGGTGAGGATGATGATGATGAAGAAGAAGCTGAGGAGGAGGAGGATGCTGGGATGATGAAGGTGATGGAGATGAGGATGATGTGGGGATGAAGAAGGTGAAGGTGATGGGGGTGAGGATGAAGGTGATGGTGAAATTGAGGAGGATGAGGAAGATGGGGATGACAAAGGTGATGAGGATGATGAAGATGTGGATGATGAAGATGAAGGGGATGAGGAAGTTGAGGATGATGAAGATG